GTCCAATCCATGAGAGAGAGGAAGGATTCTATGAGCAAGGGACATCAAGATCATGATGAGAAAATGTACAGAGATGGCCAGCCAAACTAGTGGAGATACATGAACTGTGGACCAATAGCTGTGGAGCCCCCATGGTACTGGAGTAGGCTCTCTGGATAGACAGTTGCTTAGCTTGAACTGTTTAGGGGGCCCCCAAGCAGGCAGTGGGATCGAGACCTGTCCCTGCTGCATGAGCCGGCTTTTTGGAGCCCAGCGCCTATGGTGGGACACTTTGCACAGCCTTCGTGCAGGGAGGAGGGGCTTGGAACTGCCTCAGCTGAATGTCCCAGGCTCTGCTGACTCCCCATGGGAGACCTTGCCTTGGAGGAGGTGGGAGTGGGGGATGGGTTGAGGGGGAAGGCTGGGGATTGGGAGGAGGGAGGAGAGAGGAATCTGTGGTTGGTATGTAAAATGAATAGAAAAATCTCTTAATAATAATAATAATAATAAATTATATATGGTTCTGAGATATATGAGGACATTTTATTTGTTTTTGTTTTTTTTTTTTTTTGGTTTTTTTGAGACAGGGTTTCTCTGTGTAGCTTTGCGCCTTTCCTGGAACTCACTTGGTAGCCCAGGCTGGCCTCGAACTCACAGAGATCCGCCTGGCTCTGCCTCCCGAGTGCTGGGATTAAAGGCGTGCGCCACCACCGCCCGGCCATGAGGACATTTTATACAAATATGCTTTGATCAAATTCCCCTCATCCCTCCCAACCTCACCCTTCTCAACCTTTACTATCCTGTTAGTCCTCCTTGTTGCCATATTTATTTATTTGTTGCCATGGTCTCTGCATCTGTTTCCATCAGTCACTGGCCTCTATGATGACAGTTAGGGTATTCACCCATCTGATCACCAGAGTAGGCCAGTTAAGGCACCTTCTCAACTATTGCCAGTAGTCTAAGGTGGGGTCATCTTTGTGGATTCCTAGGAACAAGTTTTATTTCTACTTTCATATCATATACACATATGATTTTATGTGAATACAAAATCCATAAATCACAAATGAGAAAAAGGTGATATTTTTCTTTCTGAGACTCATTCAGTTGGTTGTCTTGAATTACACCCATTTTTCTGCAAATGACAACTTTGTTCTTCATATATTACATATTTGTTACTCATCCCTCTGCTGTTAGGTGCCTAGGTTAGCTCTATAACTTAGCTATTGTGAACAGTGCTGCAGTAAACATGGATATGCAGATCTCTCTGTGATATGTTGACATGTGGTAACATGGGTAAATACCCAGGAGTGGGATAGCTGGGTCATATGGCCGATTGATTTTAGTTTCTTCAAGGAACCCTCATGCTGATTTCCACAATGACTGGAGTACTGTACATTCCTACCAAGAGTGTGCGTTCCCATTTGTCTGCATCCTTGCCAGCATTTGTGTTTGTATCCTTAATGACTGCCACTCTGACTGGGGTGAGATGGAATCTCAATGTGGTTTCCATTTGCATTTCTCTGATGGTTAGGGAGGCCATGTGTACTTCAGCTTTTGAGACTTTTCAACTCATTTCAATAACACATTTTTTAAATTAAATTGTTTGATTTTTTTGTTAGATTTATTCTAAGATTTTTTGAGGCAATTATGAATAGAATTATTTTGTCTGATTTCTTTTTATCGTGGTTTCTGTTGGCATATAAGAAGGCTACTAATTTTTGTTTGTTCATTTGTGCTATTTAATTTTGTTTTAGTTAAGTCATGTGTATGTGTCTGCCATGAGGACCTAGCTTGACCTTGTTTGTATCTTTCCTTCCTCTCTTCACCTTTTAACTTAATCAGACCTTGCTCATTTATTTTGTATATTCTGCACTTGAGGTTGGACAAAATATCAAATAGATTAATTTAAAAAGAAGTGCTTATTTATTTAGTGAATATGAAATTAATAAAATTTTGTGAAATATGATTAAAATATTGGAAAATATGTGGGCACATATATGTTTTATAACCTTGCTAGAAGAAAACTATTAGGAGCATGGCAAGAGCCAGGAATTCCCAAGACCTGTTTTGTCAGTCTGCCTCTTGAACAGTGAGATCCTTCTATCCCATGGCTCCCAGTACCTAATGTCTTTTATAAGTGTCTGCTGTCACTGTTCTTTTGTTTGTCTTCTTGTGGGTTTCCTGTGTACTTATTACATAACTTAGTAGACATCTGGTGATTTGGAGGCGGCATTCTATTCAGGTGAGTGGACAATTTGAGGTGAGTCAGTTCTCTCGTTCTACCTTGCTTTTGAGAAAAGATGTCTTCTTACTTCAGATCTCCAACTTGTTTCAGCTTTGTTGATTGCAACACACTTCTTCCTCTTGGGCTGGTTCCACTTCCTGTTAGCAGATCTCCTTGGCAAGTATCCCACGGCTCTGGCATTTCCAACATCTTGGGGTCTCTACAGCAATCTAGGCTTCACCTTCACAGCTTCACACAATGGCCTCTCTAGGCCTCCATGCAGGGACACCCCTGACACATGCCTGGCCTCAGCAGCTTTCCTTAGTCATGGAGAGTGATTCCATAACCCCTTTCTTCTATCCTTGACTCTAAAGCCAGAACCATGGGTCTGAAGGTGCCAAGTTCTCTTGGTTGCTGGGGCTGGAACATAATCCCCTCATTCAATTACATCCCCATGAGCTTTCTGCTTTCCATGGTTTTCCTCATTGCCTAAGCTTGGCTGTCCTGGAATTTGCGCTGTAGACCATGCTGGCCTTGAACTCAGAGATCCGCCTGCCTCTGTCTCCTGGGTGCTAGGATTAAAGGTGTGTACTTCCATGCCTGGACCTAAGCTGTTCTTTAATTCCTTTTCACAAGTTGAAATCTTAGCTGGGTGGGGTCTTATCTTGAGGTCACCACTCTTTTTATTCCTTTTAATATCAGGCTTTTCTTGTATCTGTTTATCTCCTTGAACATAGGACTTAGCCCCATTCCACTTCCTGGTGCCTCCTTTCTTCTCAAGCTGTACATTTTGTAACTTTCCCTGCTCAGCTTACTCCTTTACATTATAGATTTGCATAAGAGTGACCTCTAATAACCACACAAAAGAGTCTATACCAGGCTGTTTTGAGATTTCTTCTGCCAGTAGAATTAATCCAAAACTCTTCACTTTAGCCTCAGGCAGACTTTTCAGACAAGGGCAAAAAGCAGCTACATTCTTCATCAAAATATCACAAGACCAGTCTATAGCCCATGTATTAATATTGTCCTCTGAAACCTCTTGAGCATCCTCAGCACCACGGTCTTCCACATTCCTACTAGGATGACCCATTAAGTAGTGCTTAAAGCATTCCACTGCTTTCCTAACCCCACATCCCAAAGTCCACATTCCTCTAAACAAAAGCATGGCCAGGCCTATCACAGCAATACCCCAGTCCCTGACACCAGCCTCTGTCTTAGGGTTTCTGTTGCTGTGAAGAGACACCATGACCACAGCAACTCTTATAAAGGAAAACATTTAATCGGGGTTGACTTACAGTTTCAGAAGTTTAGTCCATTATCATCATGGTGGGACATGGCAGTATGCAGGCAGACATGGTGCAGGAGAAGGAGACTGTGTGCCATACCGGGCATAGCTTGAGCATATGAGACCTCAAAGTGACATACTTCCTCCAACAAGGCCACACCTCCTAATAGTGCCACTCCCTATAGGCCAAGCATTCAAACACATTAATTGGTGGGGGCCACACCTATTCAAGCCACCACACCATAGAAGTGCTAGTTTTGGGATTAGATGTGAGCCATAGCATGAATCATTTTTCCTTGGATGCTCAAGATCAAGTTTAGGTAGTCAGAGTTGCGTGGCAAATGCTCTTACCTGCTGAACCATCTCACTAGCTCTGTACCACCTTTGTTTACTCACCCTGTCCACCAATACTTCCTGCACATAAGGTACCTTGTAACCATTCCCACAATGTCCATGTTTGTTTTCCTGCAGGCTTTGCCCTTTCTAATAAGTACAAAAATATTACCTGAGTAATTTTTTTAGTACAAAGACTTAATCTGCTCATGTTTAAAAATTTGCTCTGCTATTATGATCATGAATTAAGTTGAGAATTTGTATCACAGCCAGTCAGACTTGTAGTCTTCCTGGAAAAGCTGTTTTAAAACTCAAGAAAATCTCATCATTGTCATGACATTCCTTCATAATGTGACATTATGGTGTGGGTGATAGTGCTAGCTATTAGAGGCAGAGGCAAGAGCACATTTGAAAGCCAGCATAGGTGACAAAGCCAGACCCTACCTTAAAACAAGATAGAAAGCCAGGTGATGGTGGCACACGCCTTTAATCCCAGAACTCGGGAGGCAGAGCCAGGCGGATCTCTGTGAGTTCGAGGCCAGCCTGGGCTACAGAGTGAGTTCCAGGATAGGCTCCACGGAGAAACCCTGTCTCGAAAAACCAAAAAAAAAAAAAAAAAAAAAAAAAAAAACAAGAAAGAAAAAGAAAAAGACCTTTGTGTACAGAATTCAAGGGTATCAGGGGTATCCTTAGCATGTGTGAGACCCTAGGTTGAATTCCCAGCACTACAAAGAAAAGCAATTCACATAGAGTCTGAAATTTTTGTTTTAGTGTCTGTGTGTGTGCATGCATGTGTGTACATGTGTGTGTAATGAGAAGACAAGTGTGTCATGGCACATTTGTTGAGTTCAGGAAATAGTTTTGTGTATCGGGTTCTGGTTGTCTCCTTCAGTATTTACATGGTATCCAGGGAATGACCTCAGACCATTGGGTTTCACGGCAAGCACTTTTACCTGGCCCCCTTAAAATGCTTTAAAAAAAAATTTGTTTAATATTTGTCCACTAATCTGATAGGGTCTTTGAAATATATCTTAATAACTAACTTCAACTATACCAGTATGCAATGTTAATCTATGCTGTGCATAGCTATATAAGTCTGTATGTTAATATATTTAATAGAATTCATTTTTGGTCACGTGTATTTATGCTTATATAGATGTAATCTTTTTTATATTTCAGGAGTTACACTCATTTTATTATGGGTTCTACTCTGGGCCCTTATGGGCCAAGAAGTTCTCCCTGGTGGAAATTTGTTTGGACTTATAGTTATTTTTTACAGTGCCTTCCTTGGGGGGAAAATTTTAGAAATCATTAGAATACCTGTAGTGCCCCCACTTCCACCTCTTCTGGGTAAGTATATAATTAGCTATATTCTTTGTTGACTATTTGTAAATCTTGAACGTTTTCTACTTGGACTAGATATATTATTTTATTTTATAATGTGGATCTAGAGTCTAATTATATATATTTACTGTATGTGGATATTTAGCTTTTTCATATAGGTTTATTCTCTACATGCAGGTTTTTTTACAGTCTATTTTTGAAAATAATTTGAAAATCCTCTATGATTTGTGTTGCCTTATTATTTAGTAAGTTTTAAACTTAAAGTGCATTCTAGAAGAAAGGAAACTTAGAAAAGGCTGAAGTTCTGTACATGTCATGTAACTAATACGTTGCACATATTATGACAAGTGAGGCACTAGTATCTTATGATAATTGAATATGCTGCGTGGGCATCTGTACTGTGTGTACCCATTTGCCACTGCTGTATTATGTACTGTTTCTTTATCCTTTTGTTCTGTGACTCTCCAGGTAGACAGGAAAGTTAGTGGGAGAATTTTTTCTGAGGTCTTATATCTCTAAATGCTCACTGAATCTTTACCCTCTTCTTCACAACTTCTATCTTGGGCTGTTCGCTACTTTGCCATGAACAATGGCATATCCTTCTTACTGGTCTCTGTGGCCTGTTTCATCACTCTCTAGTTCACCCAGACCAACACATAAAAACTGCAAGATCCTTACAGCAATTCCTCTATGAAACCTTCCCCTAGCCCCTGACTCTGCCAAAGAGGAGAACCTTTCCATGATCTGGCTTCTCCCTATGGTCTGCACTCTCATCCCAGCATCTCTGAATTGTTTGCTATTATACCACACTTATGCATGTTTGTGCTTCACACCTCTTTACCTGTTCCACTTCCTCTCCTTGTGTGCAAACTACCCTGCATATCTCCCTTGGAAAATTAACTTCAGATACACTTTCTTTTCTCTTTCTTTTTCTTCCCTTCCCTCCCCTCCCAGGCATGTTACTGGCTGGTTTCACCATCAGGAATGTTCCAATTATTTATAAATTTGTCCATATTCCTACCACATGGTCTTCAGCTTTAAGAAACACGGCCCTTACTATTATCCTAATACGAGCTGGGCTTGGACTGGACCCGCAGGTAAGTTTCCTATTCAACTTTGAGTAAAATTCTTTTACATATTAGAAAATAACAGAAAAAAAAAAGAAATAGGATTTTTGTTATAGCTGTTTTAAGTAGAGTCTGCATGTAAACCTAAGATGGCAATCAAAGACTTGACCAAAATACTGGTTTCATAATTTCTATTTCCAGCCATCATTATTTATATGAAGAGAAATCACTATGATGTAAGATTGTTATTAGTGATCATATTCAAAAACATGCATAGAAATAGATGTACCCTAGGCAGTACCACTATTAATTGAGAGGCTTTTCTATGGATATTATTTGCTTCCAGTTAAGAAAGGATAAGGTAATCCTATAAAAGTTTCCTTGTCTCTCTGTTTAAAAGAGAGATTAAAATTTCAATAATTTGTTTAATGACTATCTAGAAATATGTTCCTGATTAACTTTACATTATTGTTATTTAAATTATTTCTTAAAATACTATAATATGGAGATCAGAAATTTGTTTGAATTATTGAAAAGTGACTAGTCATAGATATGATAGCTACAGAATCAAGTGTGGAAAGTTTATATAGATTTAATGAAATTATACCAAGAGGTTAAATAATTATCACTCATAACATCATTGAACAACTAAGAAGATAGACAAGTATTTCCTTTTGAAATAATGTTTTTTACTGTGACATGTTAGTATTTTTTATTATTACTATTAAATTAAATAGTTCACCACTAATTAACTGGAGGGGAAAATCCAATGGGATATTATCACTGTAGTGTGCAGTGGGAAAATTAAAGAAGGTAGAAATAATCTTGGAGAAATAAATCTTTGCAAGTCTCTAGATGAACACTTTATCAAGTGTGAAGTTGCTATCCCTCAAAGAAATGCTATGTTACAGTGTTTGCTTAGATAATTTTCTTGTTGGCCTTTGTAAATTTATCTAAATGCCACCTTTTCTATTTCAGGCTTTGAAGCATCTGAAGGGAGTTTGTTTGAGGTTGTCATTCGGTCCATGCCTCATAGAGGCGTGTTCAGCTGCTTTTTTCTCCCACTTCCTTATGAAGTTTCCTTGGCAATGGGGGTTCCTCTTAGGGTAATATTTTTCTCCCTTCCCTCATAACATGAAATTACACAGTTAAATGTGTTTGGTTAAAGCTTTGGGTACTCTGAATATTGTATAGCCAAGTTCTCCATTAAGATCATTTTACCAGGGTTGGGCAAGAATCAAAGGTAGAGTCATGTTCCACTTCTACCAAATCCAGCTGGGCATGGTGGCACACTCCTGTAATCCCACACTAGGGAGGCTGAGGCAACATCATACATAGTTCAAGGCCAGTCAGAGGTACAAAGCAAGATCCAATCTCTGTAAAAGACTACTGTCAGTTACACAAACAGTAATGGTCCTCGGGGTTTAGTGCCAAGTAGTCCAGTCCCTCAACTTATCCCCTCTTCTGTTGTGTGTCTGTGTTTATTAGTATGTCAAATGACCACTTTGTCATACAGTATTGTGTTTTATTTATGTGTATATATGTGAGAGATTTCATTAATGGACACATAAATAAAAATAATTCTCTTTTCAAAGCAATAAAAACACAAAACCTTTTCTCTTGGTGTAGGGCCACAACTATCTTTTCTATTATCCATTCCCTCATATCAAAATTCTTCAAGGCTGGAGTCACTGTCTGTAGCTCCAAACTTCTTTTCATTAATTCTTGCATCCACTTCTACATTCCAGTCAGATTTGTAAAAAAGTGTAGCCATTGCATACTCACTGCCAAATATAGTGGCTTTCAAACTTGTATTGTAAAATACCTTCATACATACATACATACATACATATATGCACACATATATCTGTGCTGGAAATCAAACTGACTGCCTCAAGTATATGAGGCAAGTATTCTATCACTAAGCTACATCCCAGCCTATTTTTATTATTTATAAAATGAAAAGACATCCATGTGAAATGTCTTCTGATTATACCTTCAGTCTTTAGGATCACAGGGCGTCACATCCTCTGCACTGATACTGTTTACTTATGCACCGTATTTTCTAGAGACTATAAGTGGTACTCTGTTTTGAACTTAGCTTCTATTTCTTTGATAACTACTGGCACTGAGCTTTGTTTTATACACTGGAACTAGTCATACAGCTTCTTTGGTAAAATGCCAGTTCAAACCTTTTGCCAGTTTTAAAAATTGAGTTGCTCGATTTCTTACTGAATTTTAAAATTATGTATAATCTTTTTTATGTGAATGGATCTTCTGCCTGCATGTATCTGGGCACTGTATGCATGCCATATTCACAGAGGTGAGAAGAAGGTGTTAGATCCCCTGGAACTGGAATTATAGATGATTGTGAGCTGCCCATGTTGGTCCTGGGTATCAAACCCAGGTCCTGTGGAAAAGCACCCAGTGCTCCTGACCACTGAGCCACCTCTCCAGCTTCCTGTGTTTATATTCTAGACCAAAGTCTTTCATCTAGTTTATACATTATAAACTTTTTTTCTAATATGTGACTTGCCTTTTGATTCCTTTGTTAACTAGTTAAATAATTAGTGAATAAAACAGCAGAAATTCACCTCTTAAAGATCTGAAGGTTGGAAGGCCAAGGTGAAGATGCTGGCAGGTTTGATCTCTCTTGCTGTCTCTCTACCTGGCTTGTAGATTGTTCCCTCCTTCCTGTATCTTTACATGGCCTGTCCTCTCTCTTTTTTTAAAATTTTATAATTTAATTTTACATATCAGCCATGGATTCCCCATCCTTCCTCCTCCCGCCCCCCCCCCCCCGCCCTTCCCCCAACCCATCCCCCATTCCCATCTCCTCCAGCACAAGGACTCCCCTGGGGATTCAGCTCAGCCTGGTAGATTCAGTCAGGCAGGTCCAGTCCCCTCCTCCCTTCACCCAGGCTGAGCAAAGTGTCCCTGCATAGGCCCCAGGCTCCAAAAAGCCAGCTCTCACCAAGGACAGGTCCTGGCTCCACTGCCTGGGGGCCTCCCAAACAGTTCAAGCTAATCGACTGTCTCACTTATCCAGAGGGCCTGATCCAGTTGGGGAATCCTCAGCTATTGGTTCATAGTTTCCACTAGTTTGACTGTTTGTCCCTACTCTGGTGATCAGATGGCCAAACACCCTAACTGTCGTGGTAGAACTCTCATCCAAATGACTGATGGAAGCAGATGCAGAGATCCATGGCCAGGCCCCAGGTGGAGCTCCGGGAGTCCAATCGGTGAGAAAGAGGAGGGATCGTATGAGCAAGAATTGTTGAGACCGTGATTGGAAAAAGCACAGGGACAAATAGCCAAACCTGTCCTCTCTTGAGGCGTCCTTGGGATCTGTTTCTATTCTTATGAGACACTGGTCCTCTTTGATTTGACTCCACCCTTATGACCACATTTAACTTTAATTGGTTCTTCAAAGGCTTTGTCTCTGAACCTGGCTTCATTGCTGGTTATCTTCCATGTGAATTTGTGAGGATGCAGACAGAGTTCTGTCCATGACAGTTTCTAACTTGGCAAGCCTTTCTTCCTGTTTGCCCTAACCCTTATCCTTTCCTTCTAGCATTCAAATAAAGGAATAATGTGGGACCAGTATTAGATCTCTTTTTTCTTATTTTCATTCTTCTGTAATGTCTAATGATTTCAAATGCTATCTGTAAGCTATAACTTCCAAATACATAATTCAAGTCTAATTCCTTTAAGCACAGGAATTAATAGTCACATAATAGCTTCTCCAAGTGATACTGTCACATCAAAAGAAGAGAGTCCTATCTCCTGAGTCAGAGGTGCATGCCCAGTTCTCGAACACCAGAAATGCCCATCTGAAATTGTTAGTTACTGCAGTAATGTATGCATTTTTGTCATATTTGCTGTCTGCCACAGATTCTTCTGTGAACTTCTTACATGTTAACTCATCTTTATAATTCTCATGATGGTTTCATTCTCACATTATTCCAGTTTTACAGAATGAAAAACAGACATATGATGGTTAAATGAATCACTTCAAGTTAATACAATGTGCTGTGAGTGTAATTACCTTATAGTCTGAATGCAGGGCTTACATGCTTGGCCATATGCTTATGTGTGTAACACTGTGATAAGATGACATTTCAAGTCAGGATAAGGAAATTCTAGTCAGAAATTATATTGGGTAACTGAAATATGATTTAAGGAAAAATAAAATATTGTTATGATATTTTTCTTAAAGTACATGTCAAGTGAAGTAAAGACAAACATAAAATGTACATTTTTAAAAGTAGAAAACTTTCAGATTTCTTTTTTAAAAGCATTTGTTTGTTTTAAATAGGCAGGTAAAATGATCTGTAGTGATATACAGCATGATACTTAGAAATATACGTGTATCATGGAATGGTTAAATCTAACTGCAGTATTATTACCTAACAGTTACTGTTTTGGTGGGACTGCTCAAGACTATCATACATCATCCGTTGTCACTATGCACCACAGCAAGTCTCTTGATCTAGCCCTCCTGTCCAGCTATAGTTTGTATCTTTTGACCTGTGCCTTTACAATCTCTCCATTAATTTTTGATGGCCTCTCAGAGGAGATTGAAAATTTGATTTCAGTTTTCTGTTTCTTTTATGATTTTTTCTATTTGTATAACATCGTAGATTCTTGCCAACTTCAACAAAAATGCTTGTTGATTTTTTTTAATCTCTCATAGAAGTTTCATAATACAAGCTTTTGGGCATAGGCAGGTACATTTGCTACCGTAAGTCAGTTTTCATTGTGTGCCATGAGATAGGAGCCAAGATGCTTTTGCTAAGGCTGTATGGTTGTTCCTACACCAGTTACTGCAGGTGTTATCCACATTATGTCATTGTAGCAGCTTTGCTGAAAAAAACCTGTGCATGTGTGTGTGGTTTTATTTCTGAATGTCTATTCTCTTGCATTGATCTAGATGTCTGGTCTTAACTACAGTTTCTTCATCTCTATACTTTCTGATGAATCTTGAAGTATGATTATTTTAGTCTTCCAGATTCATTATTTTTCAGGATTGGATTATTTGTTCTGAGTTCTTTACATTTTCACACTCATTTTAGATGAGTTTGTCAATTATTATAAACAAAAATAACTTCTTGGGTTTTTAATGTTTTAATTGACTATATAATTTGGAATTAGTTAGCTTACACAGTGTTGAATCTGTGACTGTGGCCTAACCTACCCATTTATTGAGGCTTATTTAATTTTTTCAATCAATGTTTTATAGTTTTCAGGTGTTTAATGTAGCTATTATCCGTGCTTTTAAAGTTGATTCCTATGTATTTTTATGTTTTGTTTTGTTTTTCGAGACAGGGTTTCTCTGTGTAGCTTTGCGCCTTTCCTGGAACTCACTTGGTAACCCAGGCTGGCCTCGAACTCACAGAGATCCGCCTGGCTCTGCCTCCCGAGTGCTGGGATTAAAGGCGTGCGCCACCACCGCCCGGCGTATTTTTATGTTTTAATACTCCTGTAAAGTTGTTTTTTAAGTTCCAGTTACTTGTTGCTATTCTATAGAAAAAGCAACAAGTTTATATATACAATTTGTGCATTTAAAGTCAATTTTGTTTTTTTGAAGATTTGTGTCTGTGTATGTGTGTTAAAAAGACATTTATCCATAGAAAATATACAAATGGTCAACGAACATCTATAATTCTTGTCATCGATAAGTATTAGAAAGCAAAAATAAAGCATCATTGTGGCTACATTAGGCTAGCCAATATATGTGTGTAATATTGGCAAGGATGTGGAGAATCTGGATCTGTTGTGTTCTGCCAGTGGGATTGTGACATGGTGCAGCCATTGTGAAGAGTTTAGAGTATCTACCATGTGTAGTTAGGGTGCCTTTCAAAGTATAGCATCTCTTCTGCAGCAGTGTTAGACACACTGGACTTGTGTTTTCTTCTGAAATCCTCATCTAGCTCTGACTGGAATACTCTTGGTTTCTTATCCATTGAGGATTCTCTTGTTGTCTGCTACTTGTATTATGAATTTTCTCAATGTATTGATATCTTCATTTTAAACGATGTACAGATAGAGGGGAGACCTGCAATTTATGCTCAGTCCAGTTTCTTAGGACACGTCTGAGAACTTTTATTCAACAGTAAATGACATGCACAGTGCTTTATCACCGTTAGGAGGCTTCACTCAAAGGCAGAATAATGCCATGTGAGATTGACAGCAGAACACTAACTGCGTAAAGGGCTGGGTGGGTTTTCAAAGTCTGCCTTTCAGCTTTGTTCTAGGTGCTGTCTCTCCTGCTGTTGTGGTGCCCTCCATGCTGTTGTTGCAAGAAAACGGATACGGTGTTGAGAAAGGCATTCCAACCTTGCTGGTGGCCGCCAGCAGTATGGATGATGTTGTGGCCATCACTGGATTCAACACATTCTTGAGCATGGTCTTTTCCTCGGGTAAATAAGAAAATGTTTCACTTATGTTTTTTTCTGTAGTCCTTAACGCTGGGTTTCTGGCATTCTCTCTATGTTTATTAACCAAGACTTTAATATCTCTTTATTCTTCATAGAAGCTCATCTTGACCAGGTAAGATGCTTCAATAGGATCTTTTAAAATTTAGAATATAAAATGAATTCTCCAAAAGCTCCTAAATAGTACTTAACTGTAGATGTAACCAATGGTCTTATTAAATAAGAAACACAGAGCCAATTCAGAGAAGAAAGCCAAGAGGTCAGAGCTAAGAGCCTCACCCTTCCTGATTCAGGGATCCTCTTCAGCCAAGAGAGCTCTCCGAAAAGGACCTACTTCCTGTGTGTATGTCTTTAAAGTCTTCCTGTTCTGCCTTCTCATTGGTTGTAAACCCAAACATGTGACTGCCTCGTCACTGCCTGAATGTACCGCCCTCCAGGTCCTTAAAGGCGTGTGCCACCGCCGCCACGTACTTGCTATGGCTCTAATAGCTCTGGCCCCCAGACAACTTTATTTATTAACATACAATTAAAATCACATTTCAGTACAAGTAAAATACCACCACATTTCCCCTTTTCTATTTCAATAAAAAGGAAAAAAAAGAAAAAGGTTATAACTAACAAAAGAAAAACTATATACAAAAGTACAATGACTATATACAATATATACAAGTAATAAATGTCTAGTCCATTTGTATTTGACAAATTCAGAGAAAATAATTTTATTATCTATCCTATTTTGTTAAGTCCAAAATGTATCTAATTCATTTTCTATCCTAATTAATCTTTAACTATAACTAACTAACCTTCAACTATAACTAACTAATCTTCAACTCCCTCAGAGACCCAAGATGGAAATAATATTAGCTAACAAAAATAAAAACAGAAAGTGCATGCAAGCAACTTCCAAAAAATTTGTGAGTTGACAGAAACAGCCAGCTGCCTGGACAGTCACCTGAGGTTTTTCCGCAATGCTGGGGCATCATCTTCAGCCTATAGGCTTAGCATATCTGACAGACTCATTTGTGAAGTAGGATGTACATAAGGTCAACAGTTCAACCTCACATTGGGTGAGAGCAGTCCATGTACCAGAAACACCTGAATTCCACTAGTGTCATGTCATGATTCAGGATTTTAAATTCTGGAAATTGTTGTTGGTTTTTTAATTCAGCTGTCCATTCTTCTTGGCTGTGTATATATGGCTTCATCTCAGCATCCCGTTCTTCTCCACATCCCTCTGTCAAATGCCAGTTTACTATTGCGAGGCGTGAGCTTAGTTACTCTTTAAGAATAACTGTTTAAGCTGCTGTTCCATTGCACATCAGAAGCCATCGGCCCACTGCCTATTTAGCTGCCTTCGAAGAAAAGGGCACTGTACCTTTTCCGAATTGCGAAGGCCATTTCAGGGATGGTGCCATATTGTCCTGGCCTCAGAAGATGCCTTTTGATAAAGCCATAACCACACTTGTTTTGGCAAGAATCAGTAGTTTTTTGTTTCATGTCCTGTCTGTTCATTTTGTCAGCAGTTGATTCGAGGATACTTTGTTGTCCAGTGGCTAACTTTTGCCATAATGAAAGTTAACGCCAAGCCAAGTTAAGCGGTTTTTAATGGATTCTTGTCACGTTGGGTGCCAAATGTAGATGTAACCAACGGTCTTATTAAATAAGAAACACAGAGCCAATTCAGAGAAGAAAGCCAAGAGGTCAGAGCTAAGAGCCTCACCCTTCCTGATTCAGGGATCCTCTTCAGCTAAGAGAGCTCTCCGAAAAGGACCTACTTCCTGTGTGTATGTCTTTAAAGTCTTCCTGTTCTGCCTTCTCATTGGTTGTAAACCCAAACATGTGACTGCCTCGTCACTGCCTGAATGTACCGCCCTCCAGGTCCTTAAAGGCGTGTGCCACCGCCGCCACGCACTTGCTATGGCTCTAATAGCTCTGACCCCCAGACAACTTTATTTATTAACATACAATTAAAATCACATTTCAGTACAAGTAAAATACCACCACACTTAACAAAATGAATTCATTTTAGTACTGAACTTTTTCAACTAATTTGATTATCTGCATCCTTGCCATTTATCTGATTTTTGTGCTTTGGAATTTTATCAGTTTATAGTGTTGTTAATACATTGACTAAGTGTTTTTGAAATGTATGTTTCTTACCATCCTAATAACAGGTTGCTTGATATTAGGACAATTCAAACATACAAAGCTGGGACAACAATGTGCCCTTTTGGTAGTGTTAAGACAAAATCTTACTACACCAGTTTAGATTTTCAAGGTGACATTTGGTCTTGACCAGCACTACAGATACTGTGAAAGTAGGAACTGGGCTCACAAAGAGCCCAGACTGCAGTGAAGTGGGAATAGCCACCTATCACTAGAGCCCATGCTGTCTTGGGGCTGGTAGTGCCCATGCTTCACCACTGCTGAGAAAAGCCGGAACCACCAGGGTGACTTGGACACAGTAAGTGTTAGATCCACAGTCAAGGAGAGTGTGGCCAATTGTGCCAAGTTCAAAGAGGATACACTGGAATTCACAATTGATGAGAGGCCCTAGAGAGGCTGTATGCTCAAAGCCCTCCTGAGGAGACAAGTGGGAAGCCAGCTGCCCCTAGAATTCGGCTTTGTCAGTACAAGAAGCTGAAGCGATATGCAAAGGACGTTGGCCTCTTTCCCAGTGCCTCTTGATGGATGAATGGTGGATGAGTTTCTGTATGGACAGAGTTGGAGCAGCAGACACTAACACTTGTCTTTTTTAGAGAAGATAGCCAAGGAAGCTCATGGTAGTTGCCCACAAATGCAGTTGATAGATAGCACAAAGCCCGTGTATCACAGCCTGAAGCCCCTCAAACCCAGCTTCTGCTTCCTCCAGTGACCATTGTCTGAGGTCACCACCTGTTGCTCATCTCAGAATATCAGAAGCTCCTTCCTGACATTCCCAGAGGGTACTCTAGAATTTGAAAAGGCATAGTAATGTCTGTGGCCATGGTGGCTCTGTGGTCACGATGTTGGAACATCACATAACTCTAGACAAGACCAGGAAGAAGTAACCACTCAGCCTTCCTGGAGCTTGAGGAACTGGCAAAACAGGCGGGGTCAGGTGGGGAAAGCACTGGGTCTCCAGCCATGCAGCTGCTCCCCTGTGAGCGAAAGGACCTGCAGTGGGAAAGAGGCTGGGAAAGTTCACAGTGGCCAACAGGAAAGTGCCAGAAGGCTGGGCATGCTTACTGTGAAGGTAAGTGAGCACAAAGACTGCCCTCCTGAAGACACAGTTATGGAGTTGTTGAAAACTGTTGACAAAGATGACACGACCACAGGAGAATTGGGTAGGAAACACTTAGCAAGAAAATCAGGTCTCAAAATTGGAATTCTTAGTTTTAAAGAAAAGTTTTCAAAAGCTAGCATTTCCACAGTCAGTGGTGCTCTGATTATCTGCAGTATTTAAAATTCAGTTGTCTACATTCTAGAAGCATTAAGATAGTTTTAAAAGTGGTGTGGATAAGAGCTGGATGTGGTAGTGTGCCTATGTCAGCATTTTCGGAGACTAAGAAGGGATCACATGAACGCAGGAATTCAAGGCCATCCAGACTCTGTCTCTTTTTAAATATCAGAAAATATATTTAAAAATATAAAAGATAAAAATAAAATCTGTAATAGTCATCCCCACTAGGTAAGAATATTTTCTCAGCCTTATATAAATCTCTTTCCCCTCTTCTCTTTATTTCTGTCTCCCATTATTCTGTGTGTTTCTGTGTCTAAGCATGTACATATGTGCATGTACATATGTACATATGTATGGTTGTGTGGCTATGTGCACACATGTGCATGTGGAGACCAGAGGTTGACATTGGATATTTTCTTCAATTGTTCTTCAGCTTATTTGTTGAGATAGGATTTCTCCCTGTGCCTAGAGCACAAGAGTTTGGCTAGGCTGACTGGTCATCAACAGGATCTCTCTGTGTCTGGAACTCAACAGTTTGACTAGGCTGACTGGCCATCGACAGGATCTCTCTGTGTTGAGAACTCAACAGTTTGGCTAGGCTGAGTAGTCAGTGAGCTCCAGAGATCCTCCTGTGCCCACCTTCTCATTACTGTGATTACAAAGGTCCAGCTCTGTTAGTGTCTCAGGCTTGCCATCTAGCATTTTACTAATAGGGCCATCTCCCTAGTCCTCTCCCATTATAAAAATCACTGAACATTGACCACACTGTCCGCAGGAGTACCATGAGTCCAAGGCATATGAATAAAAGTATTTACCAGACCAGAAGGACAGCAAACTAAAGAAAAAAGAAAGTGGTGTACCCTTGAGAGGGAATGTTTCCTTTTATATAGCAGTTAAGAGAAGTTATCTGGCCTTGCCTCCTGGGCCATTTGTGTGGAGTTGTGTTTTAATTGAGTTCAGGAGGGCAACTCACTATGTTGAGGTAGTCAATTGAATAGGGCCATGTGTCCTTAAAACTGGCCATTAGGAATGAGGTGCCATTAATAGTTAGTCTCTAACTGTTTATGGCATCACAATCCACTGGGCCAGCAACTGAGCAGTTAGAGCCCCACTGCTAGGGAACGGAGACTTTTGCTCTTTTTGGCTCCTTTATTTTTGCCTTTATTATTATTTTATTTGTTGTTACTGTGGTGGATATGGTGGGGTAGAGGGTATGAGATGCATGCCACTGAACATGTGTGGAGGTCAGAGGACAAGTTTTAGGAGTTGGTTCTCTCCTTTTTTTATTTTAATTTTCATTTATGTGTATGTATGCCACATGTGTGTGGGTACCCTCAGAGCCTAGAAGACGACACTGGATCTGGAGCAGAAGTCACAGGCAGTTGAGAATGCTAAGGACAACTTCCAGCCTCTGGAAGAGCAGTGTGTTTTAGCCATTGAGCCATCTTTCCAACCCCTTTTCTCTCCTTGCCACCATGAGTCCTAGGGATTGAACTCAGATGGTCAGGTCTGCATGGCAAGCGCTTCTAACTGCTGAGCCATC